ACTTCCATTACACTTCCCACCCTCCTTCCCCTCTGTCGGAGTCACCGGCAAGAAGGAACCGAGGGAGGGTCGGGCCCGCAGGGATATATATACGCTAGAGCGGGGCGCCGCTCTGGTGGGCGGGGGGGGCCCCTGCCGGCCCGACCGGAGCCGCTGAGGGAAAAAGTTTCCGACGTCCGTGCACGCAACGCGCGCGCACCTAATGTGTAATGGACGTGAACAACACATCTCGAAGAACAACAGTTACAGAAGGTAGGTAACTTTTTTGTGGGTTTTTTCAACTTCACATCATCTTTCAGTAACACATACATAGCAAAACTTTATAACTTGATAGCACAAACAATCCAACGAGATATTAATGTTTGGCAGATTAAGATTTTTAGAATGATACCTCACAAGGCATACTTTGTACAAGATGCCACATAATTATATCATTATCATACCATAACCATATTACTGTGGTGAATGTGGGGTGCACTACCTTCAGTGGACATGGAGAACAGTCGATCACAGTCCTGTTTAACAGCTTTTTACATATTTGAAGACTGTTATCAGGTTCTCCCTCCATCTTCTTTTCTCAAGACTAACATGCCCAGTTTTTTAACCTTTCCACATAGGTCAGGTTTTCTAAACCTTTTATAATTTTTGTTGCTCTCCTCCAGACTATCTTCAATTTGTCTACCTCTTTCCTAAAGTGTGGTGCCCAGAATTGGATGCAGTAATCCAGCTGAAGCCAAACCAGTGCCAAGTGGAGCAGGACAATTACCTCCTGTGTCTTATATGTAATATATATATATATCTGTTAATATACCCTAGAATTATATTAGGCTTTTTTGCAACTGCATCATTGTTGACTCATATTCAATCTGTCATTCACTATAACCCTCGGATCCTTTTCAGCAGTACTACCACCTAACCAGTTATTCCCCATTTTCTAGTTGTGCATTTGGTTTTTACTTCCTAAGTGTAGTACTTTTCACTTGTCTTTATTGAATTTCATCTTGTGGATTTCAGGCCAATTCTTCAATTTTGTTAAGGTTATTTTGAATTCTAATCTTGTCTTTCAAAATGCTTGCAACCCCTCCCAGTTTGGTGTCATCTGAAAATTTTATAAGCATACCATCAGCCATTATCCAAGTCATCAGTGAAAATCCTGAGTAGTACCAGACTCAGGACTGATCCTTGTGGGACTCACTAGGTACATCCCCAGTTTGGCAGTGAACCATTGATAACTGCTCTTTGAGTACCGTCTTTCAACTCATGGAGAGCTGCCTTCTTCTGTTGTGTGAGCCAAAGGGCAGGTAGAGGTCAAGCACATGTAGGTGGGAAAGAGCACATATTTGATCACAGAACAATGGTTAGATACACTGTTAGGGTACTGCAAAAAGGATAGTCTTAGCAAAAGCCCATTTACTCTGGCAGATTAGAGACCTCAATATGGTTGATGTGAAAGGGAGAAGAAACTCATGCCTGGCAACTCCTAATTACATTTGTGTATTATATTAGACAGAAGGGTGTCTTTGTAGACTGAAATAGTTAGTGACATTGTTGCTTTAACTTAGTAGCATAGGAACATGACTGAGACATTAGGGTCCAATCCTGGAAAGTATTGCGTGCCATCATCGCTCAGTGAAATCAGCATGTAGGATCAGGAACACAGCATCTCCCAGGATTGGGGTGTAAGAGATTGATATTCATCTGCAGACTCATCCTATCCATTGAAGCCAAGAGGAGAACAGATCCCTACTTTCACCAGTAGTTTATCTCCCCAGACATTTCAGGAGTGTGTGTATTTATTTACCTTGCTTTAGGTATACTGAAAGTAAACTACTTGTTCATGAGTTGTACTGTAAGGAGACCACTTTTTTTTTTGTAAGGCTTTTGCTCTGAGAGAGCTGGGATGGATTTCATTCTTTTGCTAGCACAAGTGTCTTTCATGCAGTTCTTCCAAGATGTTTGTATCAATAGAGCAAATAAAGATCACTATTCTGGTCAGTTTGGGAGCAGCACAGTTTGACGGGCCATGGAAGGGAGCCCATATGGAGAGTCACTTTAAGGTCAGACCCTGATGAAACAACCAGAGAACCAATCGCACACCAAAAGAGGGGGAGGGGAATTAAAAACCTCCTGATCCCTCCAAATAGGAGAAATAAATAGCAAGTGCAGTAAATAACATTTAAAGACAATATTTATAGGTTCTAACTGGCAAGAAAAATGAATTCCACAGTCAATGCATAATTGCCAAGGGCACCTATTTCCCTGTGCAACCAGAGTAGGGAAGAACAGATAATGTCCAGAATTTGGTTCAAAGAATATAAAACCGTTAACCCACGGAAATGAGAGAGGGTTTAAGCGGCAAAATCAAAACTTTGTAGTCAAGAAGCCTTTGCATTGCAAGGATGAAATTGGCTGCTATCGGGAGTTTGCAGACAGAAATGAGCCTTTCAAGTAAGTTCAGTGTAGAAATTAAAATAGTACAAAAGCTTAGATTTCTTTCCCTTCAGATTTGACTAGTTAATCCAAAACCAAGACTTCAAACATCTAAACTGAAGTTTACAGAGAACACTCCATTAAAAAAATACATAAATAAATACAGCAATATCTGAAATTAGCTTTCTCAGAGTCATTCACTCATATGTAGAACCCACCTTTTGAACTACAAATCACAAATAGAGATTGATAGAACAAGAAGTGCAGAGCCCGTCTACCTTCACACACCTTAACAGGCTTTGCATCCGTAAAATCAGAGATTACAGAAAACAGAGATTACAACTTTACATAGTGCTTCCACTTCTCATTGCAGACAAATCATACTTCTTGCCATCACATGACCTTCATTTGAATTTGACCTTGAAGGCTCAGATGAACAGGTGGAACCAAGACACCCCAGAATCAGGCTTGCTGGTTTTTCCTATCCTCTACTTAAGTCGACACATTGCACTACTTACACTACTTTAGAGTGAGCAATACAGAAAGTACGTGGTTAGGTTGCTTTTAGCTCTTGTAAACAGTAAGCCCACAGTTCTAAATTTAGCTACAGTTTCTATGCAAAGTTTTAAAAAACAGGCCAATATATATTCAAATTACAACAAACTAACCAAAAAGTAACACAATTTCACATATTCTACTGAGAGCCACAATGAAGTATAAAAATCTATATAGTGGTAAACCATAATGAAAAAAGAAACAAATATTTAGGACTATAAAATGTGAGAGTCAAATAATAAATAAAGTAGGAATTTCCATAATCCTGTCTATATTTGTATAGATATGATACTTACCATAGTATACAATTTTCAAATGCTCAGAATTTTGGTCAATCAAGCCAATATTTTTCAAAGCAAGCAATGGCACTAGTACTTAATGATGAGTGTTTCAGGTCTCATCTTGTAGCTCTTTTTAATGTAGCTGTTTTTTAAAAAGTGTGGTGAAAATTTTTACAATTAGAGTGGTTGTTTTTTTTTACTTACTCATAACTCAAAAACTGATGAGGTGGTTTGGTCAGACTTAAAAAAACAACAACTGTTCACACAGATTAAATATGAAAAATTTCAACACAAAATGTGAATATTTTGGAAAACAGGGCATAGTGGAGACTGTTTTGCAACCTGGACATACAGAGTTTACTACCGATGACCTCTGTAATAGATGCTGATTGCAAATTTTAATGTAATAAAATACCAGATTATATATATAGAGAGAAGGACCTCTTAGGTCATCCAATCCCCCAACCCATAGTGATATGAAGAATGTTTAACACACCCCTGTTGTGGAATGATGCTTGATGCTATGTCCACTAGCAAATGACCTACTTTAAGGTTCAGGGAACGTAGTTGTAGACAGTCTGAAATGGAGGACAAGGGTGGAACAAGAGGAAGGAGAGATACACTAGGTAGGAAAAAGAATGGGGGGGGGAAACTGTAAAGGATGTAAAAGGGGAAGGGGAAAGAGGCTGAAAAGGAGGAAGGGAAAACACAATGGTACTCAACAACTGTTTATTTGATTTTGGCACATCTGTCATAAACCCCTAACTACTGCAAAAGATCATGTGGGATCTTTAACTATCACAAGGGATCAGGAGCTAAGTTTTATGTCTCATTTGAAAGATGTCAGCAACATAGTGGCCCCAAATCTTCATGGGGAGTTCGTTCAGTCACTACTCCTAGAGAAAAGCACCACATATAAATTCTCCAAAACTACTTCCCACTGCACGTTATGTTCAATCCAAACATGCATCAACCCCAACCTTTTTTTAGCCTGTGAGTTCTGCTAAAATGACAACATGAACGACCATAGGTACAGCACAGGCATATTTACTACAGTAAAAATAACTATACTAAAGAAATATTATTTAGGTTGCAAAGTCAACTGTTTGAAAGTTAGGAAAAGCTAGAATTTAGGTTGGAACCTTAATTTGCTCCTATTTTGTGCGTTATTATGATAACATGACCACATGTTATTTTTGGCACAGGACCTCTGCCTCATTCAGTGCACAGTAAAAGTAGTATAATTGACACCCATTTTAAGCCCCTTCATGCTACCTGAGTGATGTAAAGGGGCCTTAAGTGTAAAGGATAAATAGGACCTCACAGTCTCAGTAGCATTTTAGGAGCTCTGGTAGTGATGGAATTTTTTTCTAGAACTCATTTGAGCTGATCTGTCCTGTTCTGCTCATTTGGCTGTTAATATAACAATTATCTTCCTGATTTTCCTATGAACTCTTAAGTATTACTACAAACATAACACAAATGTCTTTCACCTTTTTTAGAATGCTGGAAATGAAATAGTCTATTTGTTTTTAAAAATATTCACAAGTATTCACAAAACTTTTTGTTCAAACAGATTTAACTTAGAAAATTACAAAAGTCTCTGGGGTCTTTAAAAAAACCTTGTATTGTTCAGAAAAGGATTTCTTTGATGAAAACACTTCCAAGTAATTGTAAAAATAGAAACACTTTTAAGCCACATAACACTTTTAACATAAAACAAATGATTCACAGGAATGCTGCAGAAGACAAAAAGAGCAACTGTGTGAAAAATTTGATTATCTGTATGCAATACTGGAAGAAAGGAAAAATGAGATGACACAAATAATCACTAGAAACCAAGAGGAGAAACTGGAACATGTCCGCTCCCTGATGAAAAAGTATGCAGATCACTTGGAGACAGTGTCTAAGCTAGTTGAATCAGGAATCCAGTTCATGGAAGAGCCAGAAATGGCAGTGTTTTTGCAGGTATATTTCAGAGGATTCTAAACAGAGGTAGGAAAAGAGTGGGGGAAATTAATCACAAACAAATTGTGACTCACTTTTCAATTCAAGCACAATCCCTGTTTGTTCACTTCCCAGTGAACATACACACACACGAGTTTTCATTCACAACAATGTGCAGAAATGATTTTTCTTCATTTGAATAACATGCAAGCAAAGGGTAAGCACGAGAATACGAGCATTTTCTATTCACACCAAAATTGCTGTCCTGTTTATAAGTTTTCAGTCATCCAACCAGGAAGCAGAAATAATATTTTCATATATATTTATATGATCCCCAGCACTGCAATATTTGAGCACCCCCCAATTCTATATATGGATTTAGCCATTTCACCTCTGTGAGGTAGTGGAGTATTATTATCCCTATTTTGCCTATGGGCAGTTGAGGCGCAGAGAGGTTAAGTGACTTGCACAAGGTCACACAGGCTATGGCAGGGCCAAGAAGTTTTAGGTTACATTCCAATTCCTTAACTATAAAACTATTCTTCCTTCTTACTATGGGTTTGGACCTGCTACCACTGAAACCAGTGGCAAGCTTCCCATTGATTTCAGTCAAGTAGGATTTGGTCTCATGTGACTTTCTATCCTGGAATCTTAAAATCCCATCTGACCCCCCAGCAGGGAGGACTTTTTTACAAGAACAATGTGCAGGAACAGGAATTCATCCTGAAGGGCAGAAAACCCTCTGTAGGATATGTGGAACTGTAAGGCGTCAGAACGAGAGGTGACCAATCACACACTGTGAATAGTCAGACATAGTCCGAGAAAGAAATATGCTAGAGTGAAATGTTCACGGAACAGTTATGAATAATGATAACTTTGTAAAAATTCAAAAGTCTATCCTCAGTTAATTTACACATAGCAAAAGGGCACAATGCATTGGATAAATTAGTCTGTAGGAAAAGTTTACCCAGTCCAATTTCTAGGAAACAGAAGTCACTGTCAAGGAGAGCAGGAGTAAGTGGGTCGTGTCCGGGAGGGAATATTGGTTGGGCTGGTCAGCTTCAGTTTTGCCACTGTGTGTGCACAGCATATGAGCCTATGTATCTATCTCAATAAAAGCAGATATTAAGGGCCTGATTCTCATTTATACTTTACACTTCCAGAGCAGTATAAAGGGGTCTTAATGTAAATGAGAATTAGGGCCTAAGACACTCTGTTGTTCACATGTAAGCTAGTTCTAACCTCAGTCTAATCTTATTCATAGGCCTCAGAGCTCTCATTTATCATGAGAGCTCAAGCTAGCATATTTAGAAACAGCACATGTAAGAATCAGGTATCAAAGTATAAAACCTGTTTAATAAAACAAACCTTTTAAGCATTCAGTCATTTCACTTTTGTTTTCACAGAATGTCAAAGCATTGCTACAAAAGTAAGTACTTCCCATTTGAAAGGAAGTGTATGTTTTTGATATTTATCATAAATTATCCATTTTGTAAACATTTATTTGCCAACCCAAATGCAAATGTAAATGACAAAATATCTCTATTTTAGAATTACTGAAGCATCTAACGCATTTCAGATGGAAAAAATAGAGCCTGGCTATGAAAATATGAGCCATTTCACAGTCAACCTCAATAGAGAAGAAAAGATAATAAGAGAAATTGACTTTTACAGAGGTATGTTACTGATGTGACCAAAACTGCTTTCTTTCTTTTCAGTTGTGTGCAATTTACATGAAGATACCATGTAAGGAAAATTCAAATCAGATATTCCCTTCTATCCACCAATGTACCTAGATCATTTAACATAAATTTTAATCAAAAGTAAAACCCACCACGGTTTAGAATCATGTAACATGTTGATTCTTATTTTCCTTTAATATAGCCTAGTTCTTTCCTAAGGACCTGATCCTTCAGCCCTTACTCGTTGATTGCTCATGTAAAAGAGCTGTAGGATTGGGCCTGTATAGGTACTAGTCTGTCATTACAATGAGAAACAGCAGTTTTATGGACTGTCAGATATAGAAAATCATTAAAGAAATAGAATAACGCAAACTAATAAAAGTAACTATGAATAATATATTTTTCTTTTTAATTATATCAGAGAAATTTCATTGAAAATGTAAATGGAGTTCAAGATCATACATTTATGGAGACGAACAAGGATGCCATTATTTCTTATACATTTAGGGATCTCCTCTGGTGTCATTTATATGCCTGATATTTCAGAATAGATGAAATAGTACACAGTTACTATTCTATGCTTAACTAAGTAGCATGCAAACGGGGCACCGTTATGCTTCAGCTTACAAAATGATGGGAAATCAGAGGGTCTGAATAGTTGAAATAAACAGATTTCTCTCTTAAAATCTTGAACATCTGAAAATATAGAGAATCACAAAGCTGGTCCTCTATTCTTTACCTACTAACCTTGGGCTTTACTGTTACATTTATATTTCATATGATAGTAACACCATTACTAGGATGTATGTTAATATATAGTGTCAACATAAGAAGGTCAATCCTGAACTCCTAGTACATCTAACACTCCCACTGAAGTCAATGGGGCCTCTGTTTTCAGAGGGCTTTCAAGATCAGGCTCAAGATGACTTCTTGTATCAGTATATAAGAAAATTCCTCATTGTGATAACTTTGTCTAGTTTGCAATTCGTTCTTGGTATCTTCTTAGTCATACAAAACATGTAAGCCAATGAAAAGGTTTAGTAAAATCTTCCTGAGTGAAAGATAAGACTCTCCCTACCTTTACAAAATATATGGTCAGTTTGAAACTACAGTTAATACATCATGGGATCATAGAAATATAGGGCAGGAAAGGGACCTCAAAGTCATCTAGACCAGTGGTTCTCAAAGCCAGTCCGCCGCTTGTTCAGGGAAAGCCCCTGGCGGGCCAGGCTGGTTTGTTTACCTGCCGCATCCACAAATTTGGCCGATCGCGGCTCCCACTGGCCACGGTTCGCCGTTCCAGGCCAATGGGGGCTGCGGGAAGCGGCGCGGGCCGAGGGATGTGCTGTTCGCCCTCTGATTTCCTAGTTGACTATCATATTGCCATTTAATTCCCATGTTGTTGATTACTCTAGACCCTTTGTATTAATTCTGTATCCTCACTGGTATTTAAAGCTCCTCTCAATTTAGTGTAATCTGTGCAGATTTTATTAACTTGCTGTATATTCCTTCCTCTACAAAGATGTTACTTGAGATCAGGACTAAAACAAATGTCTGAGGTTGACCACTAGACACATCCCTTCAAGTTAATAGTCTGTCATCTATCATAAGACTTTCTTTACAGTCCTTCAGCCAGTTTTCAATCCATGCTGACAGTGTTAATATCCAAGCTGATTTGAACTGATTTTGAGAGGAAGATTTCATGGAACACTGTGTCAAATGCTTTAATAAATCCAAATATAGTACATCTACTAATTTCCCTTCAGCCACTAATTTTGTATTCCTGACCGGGCCATTAAAAGTCCAGTTGGCCACCTGCAGTGGGGCAGGCAGGCTCCCTACCCAGCTCCTTGTGGTTCCCAGAAGCGGCCGGCATGTCCCTCTGGCTCCTAGGCTGAGGGGCGGCCACGGGAGCTCTGTGCACTGCCACTGCCCCAAACGCCAGCTCCGCAGCTCCCATTGGCCTGGAGCTATGGCCAATGGGGGCTGCAGGGGCGGTGCCTGCAGGCAGGGGCAGCATGCGGAGCTGAGTCACCTGGCCACCCCTGCGACTAGAAGACAAAGGGACATGCTGGCTGCGTCTGGAAGCTGCCTGAGGTAAGCGCTGCCCAGAGCCTACACCCTGCACCTCCTCCCGCACCCCAACCCCTGCCCCAGCCCTGAGTCCACTCCTGCACCAAACTCCCTCCCAGAGCCTGCACCTCCTCCCACAGCCCAACTCCCTGCCCCAGCTTGGCCACCCGGAGCCTGAACCCTGACCCCCTCCTGCAGCCCAATCTCCTGCCCCAGCTCAGCTGCCTGGAGTCCACACCCCAACCTCCTGCCCCAGCCCTGAGTCCCCTCCCACACCCAAACTCCCTCCTGGAGCCTGCACCACACATCTCCTCCAACACCCCAACCCCCTGCCCTATCCCAGAGCCCCTTCCCGCACTCCAAACCCCTCATCCCCGGTCCAGAGCCCCCTCCTGCAGTCCAAACACCTCATCCCTGGCCCCATACCAGAGCCCACACCCCTATCAGGAGCCTGAACCCCCTCCCGAACCCCAGTCCCCCACCCCAGCCCAGAGTCCCCTCCCACACCCTAACCGCTCATTTCTGGCCCCACTCCAGAGCTCGCACCCTCCAGCCCAGAACCTATACCTTATCCCACACTCCATCCCCCTGCCCCAGCCCGGAGCCCGCTCCCACACTCTGAAATCCTTGGCCCCAGCCCAGAGCCCACACGCTGAACCCCTCATCCCCGGTCCCACCCCAGAACCAACACCCCCAGCTGGAGCCCTCACCCCCTTCCGCACCGCAACCCTCTGCTCCAGACTGGTGAAAATGAGCGAGTGAGCAACGGTGGGGCAGACCAAGTGACAGATAGAGGGGGAATGGAGTGAGCAGGGGTGGGGCCTCGGAGAAGAGACGGGGCAGGGGCATGGCCTTGGGGAAGGGACAGAGAAGCGGGTGGGGCAAGAGTGTTTGATTTTCTGCAAATACAAAGTTGGCAACCCTATGCCCTAGGGGAGCTTCTGGAGGCTATTTACTAGGGCTGTCAAGCGATTAAAAAAATTAATTGCGATTAATTATGCAGTTAAACAATAATAGAATGCCATTTATTTAAATATTTTTGGATGTTTTCTACATTTTCAAATATATTGATTTCAATTGTAACACAGAATACAAAGTATACAGTGTTCACTTTATATTTATTTTTTATTACAAATATTTGCACTGTAAAAAACAAAAGAAATAGCATTTTTCAATTCACCTAATGCAAGTACTGTAGTGCGATCTCTTTATTATGAAAGTTGAGTTTACAAATGTAGAATTATGTACAAAAAATAACTGCATTCAAATATAAAACAGTGTAAAACTTTAGAGCCTACAAGTCCACTCAGTCCTCTTTCTTCTTCAGCCAATCGCTCAAACAAGTTTGTTTACATTTGCAGGAGATAATGCTGCCCACTTCTTGTTCACAATGTCACCTGAAAGTGTGAACAGGTATTCTCATGGCATTGTTGTAGCCGGCATCGCAAGATATTTATATGCAAGATGCGATAAAGATTCATATGTCCCTTCATGCTTCAACCACTATTCCAGAGGACAGTTGCTCTTTTAAGACTCCTGAAAGCATGCTCCACAACTCATCCCTCAGATTTTGGAATGCACTTCAGATTCTTAAACTTTGGGTTGAGTGCTGTGCTTTAGAAATCTCACAATCCCACAATCTTCTTTGTGTTTTGTCAGATCTGCAGTGAAAGTATTCTTAAAATGAACATGTGCTGGGTCATCATCCGAGACTGCTATAACATGAAATATATGGCAAAATGCAGGTAAAACAGAGCAGGACACATACATTTCTCCCCCAAGGAGTTCAGTCACAAATGTAATTAATGCATTATTTTTTAACGAACGTCAGATGCATGAAAGCATGTCCTCTGGAATGATGGCCGAAGCATGAAGGGACATACGAATGTTTAGCATATCTGGCACGTAAATACCTTGAAATGCCGGCTACAAAGGTCCCATGCAAATGCCTGTTCTCACTGTCTGCTGACATTGTAAATAAGAAGTGGGTAGCATTATCTCCCGTAAATGTAAACAAACTTGTTTGTCTTAGCAATTGGCTGAACGAGAAGTAAGACTGAGTGGACTTGTAGGCTCTGAAGTTTTACATTGTTTTGTTTTTGAGTGCAGTTGTGGAACAAAAAAATCTACATTTGTAAGTTGCACTTTTATGATAAACAGATTGCACTACAGTACTTGTATGAGGTGAACTGAAAAATACTGTTTCTTTTGTTTATCATTTTACAGTGCAAATATTTGTAATCAATAATATAAAGTGAGCACTGTACACTTTGTATTCTGTGTTGTAATTGAAATCAATATATTTGAAAATGTAGAAAAACATCCCAAAATATTTAATAAATTTCAATTGGTATTCTGCTGTTTAACAATGTGATTAAAAATGTGATTAATCACGATTAATTTTTTTAATCACAATTAATTGTTTTGAGTTAATTGCGTGAGTTAACTGCGATTAATTGCCAGCACTACTTTTTTACCTCAGGCAGGGGGAATGCAACTGCTACAACACCCTGTGGCAGAATACAGTGTGTGTTCCTGTCTCCAGCACCTGTGGGGAGCCTACACTGTTGGTGGCACTGGCCGGCTTGCCCAGTCCTTGTGTTCAAGGCCTGTGCACAGAGATGCAACATGTGGGGAGACGGCTCCTCCTTGGTCTCTGTCTCTCTCTTGCATCGTCTTCCTTCCTTTTGCATGCATCCATGGCAGATTCCAGTCTTGGCCCTATGAGCGTCCGCTGAAATTAAAGCTGTACTGTCCCTTGAGAAAACCGTCACTGTGGGTCCCTTTAGCTATCAATAGACCTACTGTATAGTTACCATAGTAACTTCATATTTCAAAATCTCTGTGTTGTATAAAGAGCGTACCCCATGTATTGTTGTGTTAACCTAGTGCTGTGCTTACATGAATGTTTATTAGAGGAGGAGGGTGATGAGGAAGATGAGGTGATGGAAGGTGAAGAGTTTGATGAAGTCCGCACAGAGTCATCTGGTGAGGAGGAAGAGGTAGCTGAGAAAGTATCTCAGCTAGACTCAGAACCCAAGAGCACAACAGGAGGCCCTCAGACTGAATCAGCCCCATCATTACCACCAGCTGCCTCAGTTAGTCAGGTAATTGCATCCAACTATTCTCCGGCCTATCGGCTATGCTGAATGTTTCCTCCATTCTAGAGCACTATGAATGATCTAATCTGACCCGATAGATGCTGAAACATATGTCAGAAACATGTCAAAAATATAGCCCATTCAAGGAAGAAAGCAAAGATTTTACTGCCATTGCTTATATTCAAGCTGTGTATGTGTGTGAGTTCATTGGTTTAAAAAAACAACAGTGTTCTCTTATGTAAATCAAGGAACATTTGGTTACTAAGATTTCATTTTGGAGCAAAACCCTTAAGGACTGACAACTCGACGCTCAGTTTTGGTGTTTGTTATTTGCTTAGTAGAAACTAACAGTTATAACTGAGATGAAGCATGCCTTCTGAAGAATTCATAAGCCATATTACCTGATCTCTCTAAACTTTTGTTCCTATGGATGACATTTACCTTCCTTTGGTGGTCTTGTCACTGGGGATATCATTTAGAAGTTCACGTCTCATAATGTTAGATGCAGAGAAGTAAGTCTGTTTGTTATGAAATGGCAGCCCAAACACATTCTGGGTTTGAAATATCTTTATATTTGAAGCCATGTATTTAGGATATGTTTGATATCTTTGTACTTTCTCTCCTGGAATACAATTAAAATAAAACACCAATGACTGATACTTTGTGAGATCTACACCAAAACAATACCTGCTAATATCCTTCAGCTATCAATATCGGCAATTAACTTACCAAGCAGGACAAATTAATCTCTTCTGCAACTCCAGTTAAGTCCTGACTCCAGCACCATGCTGAGGTCATTGACAGTGGTGCACAAACAAGGAAGCAAATAAAGAGTCCGTGTTTATGGCAAAGTTCTGATTTAACAGAACCAGGGTGGGAGGGGGGAATAAATTATCTAGATGTATGCCTTCTTTGATCTATTTGAGGGCTTACACAGGTTTGTGCCTGTTCTCTGTGGATATTCTTAAATCAGTTTAGAAATGGCATATATCTATTTAACTTGATTCTTTACCAACTTAATCTAAATCTAAATAAGCAAATTTAAACTGATTTAAGAGTGTTCACATGCAGAGTTGCCCTAATTTAACTTCATATGTAGACCAGGCCTAATTAGAAACTGAACTACCTCATAATTTTGTGAAGTCTGACACCTCCTGAGTGAAAAAGAATATAGAGACATGCTGGTCTAGCCCATTAGTAATTTTAAAACGCCATTATGAGTTGGTCAGACTGGCATGTGGGGGATGCAGTGTGCAGGATGCTTGCAGTTTAGCTTTTTCCTGTTGGCCTAGAGAAAGCAAAGTAAAAATGTTGTAATATCTAGTCATCTGTACTAATGGTACCATGTGGTCAAAACCTGCAGTTGGCTAGTCTGGAAAGACTTGACATTGATAGAGAGGGTGCAGTTCTGTCAGCTGCTCCAGTCATCGATAAGGTATAATTACAGTCAACTATTATATATAAACAGTTGTGTGGTGGGCAAGTATTTATCTCTATTGTCATTATAGTCTGTTTATTCTACCTGCTCATGTCAACAGAATCAATGTTGAGTGATACAATTCTGTATATTTATTTTTAAAAATAAATTATTGTCCCAATCCCAAACCCAAGGAAATGATTTAAAAGATTCCAATTGACTTCAGTAGGCAGTGGGTAAGACCCCACATATGTCATCTTCAACGTGTGAGGCCAGTACTGGAAGTTCTTACGCGTTGTGTAGTATAGTTTAGCTCAGTGATTACACAGAGATGGGAGCTCACTTGAGTATGAACTCAGGTAACTGAGTAAGAACCTCCAGATTGGCACTTAGACATTTCTGTACACTAGGTAGTTTTTAGGCAATATCTCTAAAATAAAGGACCTCATTCTCCTCTCAGACCATTTTTTACTATCATGTGACTTCACTGACTTCGGTGGAGTTATTCCTAATTTATACTTGAGAAGAGAATCAGGCCCAAAGTGTGTAATGAAATTAATGAAAGGAACATCTCCTTCAGTCTTTTCTCAACCAAGGTTCCCTTTGAAGCTAATGGGAAGTTTTGCTGAGTGGGGCTGCAGGATTTGACCCAGTGTTTGTATTTTCCATACATATATTATCCAAATGCTAGACACTTTTGCTCTGTATTTCAGTTATAATTCTTTTGGACCTCAAACAATAAATTCTTTGCAGTGAGATAAAAACAAACATGGCATGCAGAGAAATACAGGCTGAACACAGGAAGGTAACATAGTGCACTCTGCTTGTGTGTTTTTTTGTTTTTACTTTATCTATCCTGATGAAGGGTGAGGTTGTGCCAAGTGGTGCTCGACAGACTGCGGAGTCTGAAACACAAATGCCATCAACAGCAGAAATCATCGATCCCTTGTTTTACCCTAGTTGGTATAAGGCCAAATCACGGCAAGCAAGCGGCCCAAGTTTGACCCAACTGAGTGATGGGTTGGGCCAAGTAGGGCCATCCGTTTCTCTGGAAATGAATGTAAAGAAGGCAGAAACTACAGAAGCAGCAACAAGCAATGAGTGTGAACCTGGGAGTGGTAAGGAAATTAGCACAACTGCAGCTACTTCCCAGGTTAGTGTTAATGATATCTCAAAGTGTATTTGCATGCAGCTGGGGTCCAAATGGGATATAATATTGAAGGAAATTTTGTTTTAAAAAAAATGCAGAGGCAAACCATTATCTCAGAAATATGGAAACACAACTCAGTGTGATTTCAATAAAGTCCATGAATTAATACATTTGATTAAAAATGTATTGTGGGCCAGACTCTCAAACTTAGGAATCCACAGGCGTGTGCATATATTTTCTTGTGCCTAACTTATGTGCCAGTGCACCCAATATGTGGAAGCAAATACCTGAGGCGCTCATGCATGTGGTCAGCTAGATATCAGACATATGTCTAATTGGCCATGTCTGCACACATCCGGTATTTACACATTAGTGGCAAACAAATCAACACAGTTACCTTTATGCAATGTTGAAAATCTGAATCTATATGTCACATGCAATTTACAACCATTGCATAGGCAGCTGTTGCTTGAGACTTACCTACTGTAGTTTTACTGCCGTATCTGTCACACATCTGGAATGTACGGTTGCTCTTGGTTAGCCTTTTCTCTATGCACACTGGGCTATGCAAGCGTCAGGGTTCTTTTGTTTGTCTGACGGCAATTCTAAAAGCATGGTGTGATTTAAGTTAATTTTGCATTGTGAATAACTGTTCCAAAAGTTTTCTTTCAAGAGTGTTTGCAATATGATCAAAGATCAGTATGAGCATCAGAAATGCTAGCCCTGTATTAGACTATCACTATTATGACATCGGCATTGATGGAATAATGGAATGTCATGTGTTTTTTATTTTTCTTCTTAAAAGGACACTGTCAGAGTTTGGCAGACCCCAAATTTGACTTTTTCCTCTCTGTTTGTTTGAAAAGTCCATGTAATTCTTAATGGGCCAAAGATTCATGGAGTGGAGCTGAGGAACATGTGAAAAATGTGCACAACACACATGCGCCTGCATTTGTGTGTGTAAATTGGTTAAGGCCTAAATTTAAAAAGTATCCAATAATTTGGAATGGCTCCATTTCTGGGTGCCAAACTCAAGAGATGTAGGTTTTTGAAGATTGTAGACCTCCTGTTTTTGAAAATTACTTGTGTGCATGCTTGTGTGTGCTGTGTATGTGTGTGCCTGAGCATGTATGTAGCAAATACTTCAATGCTATGTTTTTTCTTTAAAAAAAAAATCAATGTCAGCAGTTTGGCACTCATGAGCAACCCTACAACAATAAACCAGTGTGTGGCGGGGGGGAAAGATAAAGAAACAAGAGTAAATTCAGATATGGCATATGAGGACAAAGCTCTAATGACTGAGGGCCCTCTCCAATAACCACTGAATTCAGTGGAAAGATTTTCATTGATGTAAGTCATAATGAAGGCTAAAATTGGCCTATAGTTTTCAGTGTTAATCCTTCCAGGCCGGCACTTTATTTATGAACAAGAGTAGAGTAAAAATATTTTTTTAATTATGAAACCTACCATGACAATGTCGTCTTAAGTGTGTTCTAGACAAGATGTCAAAAGCAGGTACTATTCAAAATGAAACTTCTTGTTGCTGTTGTTTCAACAGAACTGTTACAAAGAATTAGGGCCGCATCCTGCACGCCACACTCAGGTAAAATGCCCATTTACTTATCTTAGTGGGAGATTTGCCTGTGTAAGGACTGTAGTTTCCGGCCCTTATTATCAGGAGCAGTAAAATAGCAGAAATAAATGTTTGATGTGACTTTTACTTTTTGGAAACCCTACTGCAGTGGCTTTCAAGCAAACCAAGGAAGCAAACTGAAGCAATTAGGGAAAGTAGAAATACAAGAGTAAACAAGGGGGAAAGAATATTTTTTTAGAGTTGGGACAATTCCTGATGGTTGCGAATCATTGTGCACTGGTTACCATGCTTCAATATTTGTTGGAAATAAGTATGATGTGTATGCACACTGCTGGAGGGATAGCAGGTGAGCAAATAATGGGGGTGTGGTTCTGGGGCTGGGAGGAATTATGGGTGAGATTCACAAAGGAAGGTGGGTAGTCATGGTTTTGTAGGTCAGAAGGGTTGGTGGGAATGTGTTTTTAATGGAAGAGTGGTGAAGCAGTGCTTGGACAAGGAGAAATGGCAAGGTCATATGTAAAATGGCCTCTGCCATGTGGCAGTGATCATGTTAAGTAGGCAAACTTTAGTTTGTTTCCTGCCTGTGATTTTAACAAAGACCAATCTGGCATAGTTTCTAGAGTCATTGATAAACCAAATAGAGACTGGGTATATTCATCATGTCCCTGTTTTCATCAATCTCTTAAGTTAAATAATGACATGTAAAAGAATAACTGAAAAAAATGTTCTGAAAACTGAATCTCTTCACCAAACCTGGTGTTGACCAGCCCAGTTTACTATGACAACATTAGTGAAGCATTCTTCTTATTTCCTCACAGGAGTTAGCATTCTGCATATCAGTTTTGGCTTTTCTTATCATACTGCATCATCTCTGGAGTCAGATTCAATACATGATTTTTACTTTAATGGGTAGGAAATGTTTTGTTTTACCATTAACTAACAGCACAAGTAGTTTCTCTGGTAATGTTTCTAGGTGGTCTATAAAGGATTTTTTTCTCTTTCTGCCATCTAAAAAGAACCATGCTAGCTTATAATACCTGCTGCCTAAAGCTTTTTCTCCTCACACTCCCAAAATGCCATCCTAGAGTTTAATCCCGCATGGTTAAAAATTAAATATCCTTGATTAAAAAATGAGGGAAACCCTGCATCAAATTCATGGGCTCATATTTCAGTTGTTTTTAGGCATTTCAGTAGCTATTTGAAACTATAAATCAATAATAACAACAAACTACCACTATTTTTGTGATCTTTATATAACAGTCATGCAAACTTACCCAATGAGTAGTGAGTTTTGTTACAGTCTTAAAGGTATCACTTTGTATGAGAAAGGGTTTCTTTAGGAGCTACAATGCAGATGAAAGACTCTACATATAGATTTAAAATTCTGCTCCTTACCTCTCATGACAGCAAACTATTTATTATGTGAAAGAAACAATTGTCATTCATAAGGTCATAGACCATTTTGTCATAGATCTTTCTCACTTTGTCCTAGGAGTTTGGAGGGTTGTTTTGGTTTAGTTTTTGAGGTCCCTGAGGCTGAATACTTTTGGATCAGTTTCCCCCCTCTGTGCATGCGTGTAACTCCTGTTGTCACCAATGATAAGAACACTATTAGTGAGAACAGATTCATAATAAAATATCAAGTCGTACATTTTACAGCACTGGGCACTGGCCTGTTCTGGAAAAGGTACTAAGACTTTGGACTGAATAGTTTTTTGACTAGTGTCATTTCTCATAGTAGTTAAGGAAGAAAAATGATCTTCCTTTAGAATAACATATGAGCCAGATTCAGCCCTGCCAACACAGTAAGTGTAATGTGTACCCTCTGCAGTGGACTGGGCTATTATTCCCCTGGGGGATTCCACCCCAACATCTCTCTGGGTTTTCAGTGTGGGAGGGCAACAGGAATTCACTGAAACTGCTCATTCCCTTGCTATGGGGGCTATGTCCCCTTCCCCTGCCAACACTGTCTGTTTCTGGGGTATTCTGCCTGCCTGCCTGCAGGTCCACTTAGATCTTCAGCAGACGGAAGGTTGCAGCTACTTTTCTCCTTTGTTGCCTCCCTCCCAGGCCTGGTCCACACTAACCCCCCACTTCGAACTAAGATACGCAACTTCAGCTACGTGAATAATGTAGCTGAAGTCGAAGTACCTTAGTTCGAACTTACCGCGGGTCCAGACGCGGCAAGCAGGCTCCCCCGTTGACTCCGCGTACTCCTCTCACAGAGCAGGAGTACCGTCGTCGACGGCGAGCACTTCCGGGATCGATCCCAGAAGATCGATTGCTTACCGCCGGACCCAGAGGTAAGTATAGACCTACCCTAAGTCAACATTTTGCTTCTGTTGTTCTGTGCCTGAGTTTATGCCAGGAGAAGCTGGGAATTAATCTGGTTCTGAAAATAACACGGAGCAAAATCATTCCTACCTGAGGCTGAAATATTTCTATCCTGTTTGGCTGAGGGCCTTCTTTTGATGGGATTGTTAATAGAACCTGAAAATTTCCAGAGAGCTCTAGTGAACTACTGGATATACTGGTTTGCTGACAGACCACAGTATCAAACGCCAGGTGGAATTTTGCAATACATGCTGTTTGCAACCACTATTGCAGTAACCCCAAATGCCTTCTTGCCTGGCCTTCACTCTGGGGGCACCATGGCTTACACATGATTTGCAACAAATAAAGCAAAATAGAAGGTGACTATAACATTGGTGGTGGACGTCTTGGCAGAGCTTGAGCAACTGAAATTTTTGAAGCCTTATTCTCTTATCTGCTGTTAAAGGTACAGAAAGTGTTCTATGCCTCCATCACAGGCTCTGTGAAACTTGAACAGCAGACCTTTTGTGGCTTGCCTCCGTCCAGCAATCTGGGCTGAGCAATCAGCTATTGAGATTTCAGAGCAATACACTCAGGGGTCAACTGCAGCATCTTCTAGGTTTCAGTTTCAGCCAGTATATCTTGATGCAGTGCTGAATTGTGTTGGGCCACATCACATATCTGGTTCATGTCTGTTTTGTCTGGTTCAGACCAGCAAGAAAACATTGGGCCCTCTGTGAGAGTAAGTTGCCAGGTGTGCTCAACAGGGCACTGATTAAATCCTGTTCAATAAACTGTCATTCAACACTGATAATCTTGCGAGCTACTGACAAAGATTTAATCTCCCATATTTAGGAGTGATTACTGAGAAGATTACAACAAAGCAACTCTGATAATATCTAAATAATATCCTTGACTCTGGTTAGCTTAATTTCAGACCTGGATATGGAAAACGAACAGATTGAGGGTACATCTACACTACAGGGGGGAGTCGATTTAAGATACGCAAATTCAGCTACGTGAATAGCGTAGCTGAATTCGACGTATCGCAGCCAACTTACCCCGCTGTGAGGACGGCAGCAAAATCGACTTCTGCGGCTTTCTGTCGACGGCGCTTCTTTCCACCTCCGCTCCTGGGGCCCA